TTGTGACTAGCAAGGCTAAAAAATGAGAAGAGTTGCTGGCTGACAGGCTGCCTATAGAACCCTCTTAGATGGCTCCGCATCTTATCATTTCCGATCTCAGTGAGACAACACTGTGAGAAGACTGGCAGAGAGCTCTGTGTTTATCAAGAAGTCTGGACTGATTTTCAAAACCCTTCAGAGATGCATCTCTGTATAGAACAGAGGTGCTACTCTGAGCCTTTCCATTTTCCTACCAAAGAATGGAGGGCCGATTGGAGAATTGGGGGCCAATTGATTTTTTGTTATGGAACTGAGGAGGAGACTTCCATTTATTTCTCATATAGTTACAGCAGATCTGCTTTTTTAAGTGAACGTTAAAGTTGCCCTTTAAGTGGAAGTTAAAAGTTGCCCTTTAAGTGGAAATTAAAAGTTGCCCTCTCTTCTTGCCATTGTGGGCCCTGAAAATTTCAAATCTATGAAAGGTTGTTTTTTTTCATCTCTCTCTCTCTCTCCCTCCCTCTCTTCCTCCCTCTCTCTCTCTCTCTCTCTCTCTCTCTCTCTGTGTGTGTGTGTGTGTGTGTGTGTGTGTATCTGTGTGTGTGTGTATCAAAAATGGGGATACGTCAAATAGAAGAATTTGGAATAAGCTGTACCTTGCTGAAGTCAGACACCAAGAGTTTTTAAACCAAATTAAAAAGTCCTCTTCCTTCCAACAGGTTCAGTAATATTACACTTGGATATCAGTTTGATATGCCTGTTATATCTGGCTCAGAGGTTTGTTCTCCCAGTGACTATTCCTAACTCTTTCTCTAACACTCCAAACTGAGACCTAGTTAAGTTCAAAGGGTCTCTGTCAAAAGCCTATTGAGTCAATATTAAATGGAGACAGCTCTGCCCCTTGGAGAGATTTGGTACAACTTGACTTTGCCTGTCACCCAGAGCAAGAGGCTAATTATGAAATACATAAGAGAAGAAAAAGAGGGTTTGACTGCTTAACAAACTTTGGTGGTTTATAAAAACCTCAGATTCTAGAGACACAGTAAACTCCAGCACCGCTTCAAAAGCAGTCTATCATTGTAGCTTCAAAAGCCGTATATCAATGTAATGTTATAGTATCAACTCAGTGTTCTTTTTCTCAGTAGTCTTACATAATATATTGGGCTTACTTTTTTTCCCCCAAAAATAATCCTGATAGCAGAAAGACATTCTGCTTAAGTGTGTGTGTGTGTGTGTGTGGGTGTGTGTGTGTGTGTGTGTGTGTGTTGAATATATAGACAGGTTTCAGCAACTCTTCCTGGAATACCATACCATTTGTGGGTAGATTAAATAGAACTTAAGAAATACTTTGGAATACAAAGGTTCCAGGCTATTAGACAAAAAAAATCAATATAGATTTCTGTAATTAAATTAAGGAAGCTATAGCAACATAACAGAGAGGTTGCTTCCAAAAGGAAAAAAAAATCAAATCTTCATTTACGATCTTAGAAAACAAAAATAAAAAAAATCCTTCTATTGACATGATTAATCCATAATGTGTCATTCAATTTTCCCATTCTCAAATTAGCAATGCTTAAAAGGATGCTGAAACTGCAATCAACCTTCAAGGTAGATTCATCTAATATTCTCCCACCATCAGAGCATTTTGACCTTCCATTTTGACCTTTGACATTCTATTACAGATTATTTTTAAATACCATTTTTATTAAAACTTTCAAATGAGAAGGTAAAGCTAACATAAACTGATGGATAATAAGAAAGAAAAAGAAAGAAGTCCAAGAAAAAGCAAAAAGGGAAAAAATGAAAGAAAAATTGAAAAGACAGGGAAACAATACAAAGAAATGATTTCTAATATTCTTCACAGCACTTATAATTACATTGTGACATTTCCCTCTAAAGTTATATCGTATTATTATTCTTTCTATAATCTATTCTATCAAATCATCAAAATGATAAGTCACAAGTTCCTTTTTCTTATTTGTATGCAAAATGTTCATAAGAGACTTCTGGCAGTAATAAATATAGATAATGTCTTTTCTGTAATCAAAAAAAATACATTTACCTATTTCAGCAAAATTGTTAACTTCGCCAACTTGGTAGTGTTGAATCTTTGTATCTCTCTGCATATACTTCCTGATTTCAAGTAGCCATCTTGGAAAAAAGAAACTTTTCCAATATGTTTGAATTCATATAATTGAAATGTTTTTCAATTTTTCAAAACTCAACCATATAATGGGCTTTTAACATATTACAACTGATCATTGATAAGGTACCCATAACCTATTGCATATGTAACGTGAATTTACATATCCATCTTATCTTCCACTCTTTTGCCCTATCTCATCTCAGTTTAAATCTTACATTAATTTAGCCACTTCATCTCTGTGACAAAGTGTTAAAAATTTGCCTTTTAATAAAATCTGTAGCCTGGAAAGGTGGTATAGCTTCTACTAATTTTTGGCTGACATAGATTAATATGGCTGTCTTCCTACAATACATTGTTTCTTATGTTTCTCTGAGTTCAGTGTGAGCTTACAAATGTTCCCTACCTCAGGGCTTTTCAATCTTTTCACCCATTGTATCACGTTTAGGATATGGCAACATCCGAGTACCACCAATTGCCTAGCAAGGTGTCAAAAACTTGATGACCCCCAAAAAAGGAAAAAAGTGATGAAGTACAGGTAGTCCTCGACTTACAACAGTTTGCTTAGTGACTGTTCAAAGTTACAATGGCACTGAAAAAAGTGCCCCCCAAGGCACAGCCGAGCAAGAAACCCGCCTGCCCACTGGCGGCACTCTTCCTCCTGTCTGAGGTTTTCATTGTTGTGAGCATTTCTGTTGAGGATTGGCAGTGAGGATGGGGTGGGGGTGTTTGGTTTATATTCCCCCCATCTCCTGGGTGGTTGCAGCAGGTTTTGGTCACTTCACATGACCCTGGGACACTGTACTGTCATAAATATGAATCAGTTGCCAACATCTGAATGTAAATCACAAGACCCTGGAGATGCTGATTGGCGCTTCTTCTGGGCTTAGCAGAAGCGCCAGGATCAGCGCCGAGCTCCAGCTGGAGCCTGGCGCTGATCCTGGCGCTTCCTCTGAGCCCTGACACCCCCGAATAAGCGCTGATCTTGGCGATTGCGCTGAGACCTGACAGCCCTGCAGCTCCAGCCCTCTCTCGCTCAGGCTTGTGCGGTGCTGCCACCGGTTCAGCTCATTACCCTCCCCCGCTACCACTTTTCTAGGATGTTCACGTACCCCCTGCCAGGTGCCAATGTACCACAGGTGGTACCCGTACCACTGGTTGAAAAGCCCTGCCCTACGTAATATAGGAAATCATATTATGCCTTTATTTTAAATAACATGATAGAAACCATTAACTATTTCCAATAGTTAAAATAAGCAAGATAATGACAGGCATACTGAATAATACAATTTCCATCTCAGAAATTTTTCTTCACTATTTTAAAACTCAGCTAATAATAAAATGGATATGGATGAAAATTGGCTAATTACATTTTTTTGTAATGTTCTTGATGCTTTCAAACAGAGTAGTTATTTCACTTACTTAGGATTTGTTTTCAATTTTCCTTCTGGAAACAAAAATTCTTAGCACCACTTAACAACGAAGAGGACATAGTCTATAAGCAAACTATTATCTCGGCATCTTGGGATTGAACCTGCCTCTCGGATAGCTAGATGCATTAAAACACTGCTTTATTACTAAATGAAATATAAAATTAGTCATCCCACTGTTGAATAAAATGAAATGTTTCATTTATTAAGGATTTATTTTTGCCATATTTGAAAAATAACATAATAGGTTTTTCAATAGCTAAGGACAAGAAATTCCTTTTTTGAGCCAAGAGCACTTTTTTTTCAGTTGTAAAACTTCTATTGGCAAATACAAGAGATAGGAACAACAATTAAGATGTCAAATCTTGCTGACTCCACTTTAAAACTGCTTCATTGCCACAAAAAATCAGCCACTATTAGAAGAACTGAAAGCGGAGAGGCTACTTTGCTAACTGGAATGTGTTAGCATTGTGACTGAACAATGAGTAAACCTACAAAAATGCTTTACTAGGCTCTCAAGTTCTCAATAGACTAAACACTTATGTGAGTAAAGGCAACATCAGATTAGCTTCATGCTTATGACAGTTCTAAAAGTAGCTGATTACAGTGTAGAAGCTGGCAAAGATAAAGCAGTTACTTCCTTTATTGGTAAGCACGCTGAATTCCAATATTTCAGCATTACGGAATATGCACAGCTGCTACGAAAAACATCATCTATCTTTCATATCTCCCTTTCTGGAGAATGTCAATCAACACAAAATATGTACCATTCTCTGTTGACTTTCCCTATGTGGCAAACTCACAGCACAGTGATGTCACACAAAGATGATCCACAACACAGATCTTAGAACAGCACTCTTTGATTATGTTTTGTAATGCTTAGTCTTTGTGATAATCTTGAATGGATTCTACTTGCCAAAGAGAAATAAAGGTGGAGTAGATAAATTCAAATGGATAACCCATACATAACAAGAAAATGTTTTGATTCAACAACAATTTGTAAGAACAGTTCCTAATACACTGGACTGATCTGCTAAGCCTAAGATTCCAAATCATTTCATTGAAGAATTATCAATTCATGAACAGCAGAAAGACTGGCAGATGTTCAGTTGGTAAACAACTATGCCAAAAGCACTTTCCTAAATAGAGAGATTTCCTCAATTTCTAGAAGCAAATGAAACTAAACAATGCCCTTACATAATTTGCATTAAGTACAAGACATAAGCACAAATCAGCAAGCAGAAGCATAAAAATCTTTTTGGGAAAGGACCCAAAGGTTAAACATTTGCCCAAACAATATTTTTTTATATCCCTCAGTACATAGCCGGGAGTTAATTTTACACAATATTATTGAAACAAGAGCCTAGTGGGGAATAGCATCTGTTTCTAATCATGAAATCTGAAGATCAGTGGATAAGAACTGCTGGTACATTCATTAGGCATATACTTACAGTGAATTTGGCCGGTTGGGTTTGATAACTTCTATATTAGATTCAGTTAAGTTCTTGTTAGGCTGAACAGCATTACTGGACTGGAGCAAACTGTTGGTGTTTGATGATGATATGACCGATTCTAGGCTGGAGTTAATTATACTGTTTCTGTTTTCCTCTGAAAAGTAGACCAAAATGAATTGATGCTGTGACGTGATTTTTATGAAGATATTTTTTTAAAAGAGAGAACATTGGAATTTCTGAAGACGTATCTATTAAAATTCAAATTTCAATATATTGCAGTCATAGACTAGTACACATATTAGAACTTCTACACTTAGGTTTAAAAATATTGTTATACTATTTAGGCTCTTATTTCTGCATTAAGGCTGATGAGTTTTTGCTTCTTCCTCTAAAGCTATTTAGCTAAAACATTTCATGCTTTAAGAATTTTCTTCTTTGTCCAAGCACTTAAAAAAAAATCCTACTCTCATAATACTCCTGCCTCTTCCTCAAGAATAATTTGCTCCAAATTATTTAGGATAACAGAGAGCTGACAGTAATGGCAAGTTATGGTTCCTGCTACAGTTCTAGAACTCCAGAATACATTTTAAAACCAATGAGAATTTGTTAAGTATATACAAAGGAGAGTAGACTTATACCTTTTATTCTTAATAGGATCTTCTGGCTGCATTCAGTCCTATCAATCTTTTCTAGCTTTATCAATCAATATATAGTCACAGGCCTCACAAGCCTCTGCTACTAGGTTCCATTGTCTTAAGACTAAGGAATCTATAGTTAAAAATGAAATCTATAGTTTACATTTCACAAAAGACAAGAATGCAGAATAATACTCAGCACCGGAATGGGACAACTTGGTGCAGACAACTCGCCATAGCCAGCTCACCACAAGACAATCCACTGCAGGACAATTTAACCAATTCAATTTCAGGATTTAAAATAATTTTAAAAATATTTTAATTTTTGTCATTCACATTTCATTTTGTTCGCTTTTTGCATCCTTTCTTTAAAATTCTATTCTGCTATTTCTTTGATATTTTTGTCCCGTGGTGAGTTGTCCCACAGATAGTTGTCCTGTGGTGAGTTGGCCACAGTAAGTTGGCCATGGTGAGTTAGCTGAGGCAAGTTGGCCGTGTTGAGTTGTCTTAGACTCAACTCAGCACAGAGAATAAAGATACTTACGCTTTTCATTGGGTTGCAATGTATGGAAAAGGGTTAAGGGCCTCTCACTGCAGGATGGTGGCTTTGAATCTGTACTCTTTTTTCGAGATAAGAGCAGTTGAGAATTTGACTGTAGAGTATCAGGCACCGTGTTAAATATCTATCATTTTTTTAAACAAAGAAAAGAGAATTTGAAAATTGTTAGAAACTTCTCATGAAAAGGGAGCAATTTGTATTAAAACCTAAAACAAATCTGTGTGGAAGTAGTAACTCTCAAAAAATGGCTATATAGTCAAATGATTTTTGATAAAAGAAAAAATATTTCTTAGATTAACCATTCAACAGTGCTTACACTTTTGCTAGTGTAGAGATAAGTCTAATACTAAATTCTCTGAGATTATCTAGCTTTTGTGATTATGCAGACAACAACAACAGTAATAATGATGATGATGATGATGTTGGAAGGGACCTTGGAGGTCATCTAGTCCAACCCCCTGCTCAGGCAGGAAACCCTATACCATTTCAGACAAATGGCTGTCCAGTCACTTCTTAAAAACTTCCAGTGTTGGAGCATTCACCACTTCTGGAGGCAGATTGTTCCACTGGTTAATTGTTCCAACTGTCAGGAAGTTTCTCCTTAGTTCTAGGTTGCTTCTTCTGCACACTAATTATTTTGGCAATCCGTATCAGACTACAATTCAACTAATAATTTCTAAAGCCAAGAAGTCTCAAGCTGCTATTTCTTTCCTGACCCAGCTGATTCAAATGCTGCATGCTGATCTTCAAAGGAAAGTAAGCAAGTTTATGACGAGAGTATACACTGATTCACTGAAAATGTACAAAGTAATTAATAATCTCCCTGGATTGATAATGTTCTAAACCGCTCTTCTTCTTTTTTCAATTAGCTAAAATTAGCCTTAAAGATTAAATTGCCTCTTGGGATTAAGCAAAATTGGGCATTAAGCAAAACCTCTTCCTGAGAGAGGAAAAAAACAAACAAACCCTGATCTTCATGAACTGCACAGAGGGTTTACTGTACATATACATCATTTTAACATGATGAATTCCATATTTCTATATATTTTTTTCTTTGAGCTGAAACTATTTCTGATGATTCCCAAAGCATCATTCATTTGTATCTACCCCCACGCCACAAGCTGTATTCTAAAGGGAGCCATAACAGCTTAAATAAAGCAGCTCAAGCTGGTACAAGATTATTCATTCCAATTAAACTGGTGATTCATTCCATGTCACACCCACATTCTTTTTTTCCCCTTTCAACCAGAGGGAAACTCTTCTTTTCCACTATGCAATTTCTGTTATGAGTGGTCTGGGATTTCAGAATTCCCTCAATGAAGGGATACAGAAATCCAAATATTTCATCTCCCAATCAATAAAAATGTTCAGGAAGAGAATGTGGGCTGGCAGACGCCTGGAACAAACCCTGTTACTTGTCAAATTCCTGTCTCTTCCCAATGTTCTTGCAGCTGACAGCTGCTAAAATATTCACTGGAATCAGAATCAGTAAACATTGGTAAACAATCGCTTTTTCAAAACATGGAAGATACACGACTCAAATATAGTTTACCTTTTCATGGTTTTCTATTAAAATCTCAACTACAATATTTTGGAACTTGATGTCCATAATTGCAGCAACAGTTTCTTCTTGTGGTCGCATTAACGTTGGTCCAAAAACAACTCCCAGATTTGCGACAGTCATAAGATTCTGTTTGTGGTTTTCAGCAACACTGCAATGAAACAAGCATGATAGATTTTCAACAGGCCCAGCAAGTTTAAGTGTTAGTCCATTTTTTAAAAAAATAATTTTGGAAAACCTACCGTAGTATTTGAATTTCCGCAGAGTAGACTACAATTTTGGGTTTTAATAACAAAGCCAATGAAAGATCAATATAGGCTAACTCATAACAGAGCACTCATAACAGAAATTGCATAGTGGAAAAGAAGAGTTTTCCTCTTGTTGATAACACTTCTACAAAGGTCTGTAAACCCACACATAATTCAGGGAATAAAAATTGCAAAGAAGGTGATGACAACATGTTTCCATGTAGAGATGCAATTTAGAAGAACAAAGTGACCATTATTGATTTCAATATTTTACCTGAGATACGCTAAACCAACACCCGCTATCTTGAAAAAAATAAGCAGAATTCTGAAGACACAGGATCTGAGTAGTGGATAAACTTGTTTTCAACTGACTTCTTGATAAATCCAGTTAACAACTGGACCAATCACAAGTATTTCATGACCTGGGGAAAGGATATGGGCTTGTATATATTGAAGGAAATACACTGAATAATGTGGGCTGTTAATATTATTATTTAATTGTATTATTTATTTTGCTCAGACTCAGTGGTACCTGATGTTAATTTAATACATGTCTCTGACTCACTGAGATTAGTCATTAGACAGGTTTCCTTTGAGTTCACTCAAAATCTCCATCGTACAAGCCCAGTGTTTCAGCAAGAAAGAAATCTCAAATAAATATGGCTAAAAGATAAGAAAGGAAGACAGATAAGATTGTGTATATTTTGGCATTTCTGTATCCTGAAACATTTAATATATGAATTTGCAGCTGAAAATAATTTCTGATTTTCCTACACGGGTCCAATAACTGAGGTGCAGGTCACAAAAAAACGAACAAACCCCAGTCCACTGAACAACTCAGGCTTAGGAAAATATGTACCTACTACATGTACTGACTTCCATGGTCAAGAAACTAAAGAAAAAGAACACAGCAATATTGTTCAAATTAATATCATAATAGAACTGTGAATTTTACGTATGATCTCTTTTACTGAAATAATGTAAGGCAAAAATATCAATAAGAACTACTTTGTTTAAAAAAAGATATTCTAAATTGATAGACAGACACACACAGAGTATACAAACATGGTTCTCAAATCTCAAATATTTTAGGAAACTGGAGAAGATATTCTCTTTCCAAATGCAGTTATCTTTTGCTTTTACACAGCAGAATTTTCCTGTTTGCAATGTAAAACTGTAGTCATTACAGGTCAGGTCTTCCCAATAATTCAAGCTACATCATTTGATTGTAAGCGTTCTACAGACAGCATTTGATTTGGACCAAATTCTCATCTCTACCTGCTTGTGGGTATTATTGAGATAATATGTATACTGTATATAGAAAGAGTGGAAGGATTATTAAATAAATAATATATATTTTTTGTAATTCATAGTCTTTTGCTCTGCTGGGAAAATTATTATAATTAAGTAGACATTTTATAAATTCCAAACCAAGTACAAACTAAAAATATTCAAATACTTTACCTACATTAAAAAAATATTTTCAGATTAACTCTTAGTATCAGGTGTGGGTATAACCACTTCTCCATCTGGATGCACTCATTTTCACTTGATGAAAATGGGGAAAGGAGTGGCAGATTAAGACACTTACTAGTACTGCTCAATTAATGACCATAATGAAGTCTGCCTGTCATGGTCGTAAGTCATGATGCTCATAAAACAGGTCAGTCCCATGACTGACCCAATTTTACAACCTTTTTTGAAGTGGCCATTAAGCAAATCACCAGTCGTTAAGCTAACCTGCAATCATTAAACAAACCACACAGTTGTTAAGCGAACCAATATTTTTTCAGCAAAACTACAGTAAAGCACGGTCACAGCCATGCAAACAGCCATAAATGTGACTATGTTGCCAAGGGCCCAAAGTCTGGTCATGTGAAGACAGGGAGGCTGCTGACCATTGGAACTGGGTTGTTCCAGGCTCTTTGTAACTTCAAACTGGAAGCAACTGGTTGTAAGTAAAGGACTATCTGTACCTGCAATTCCAAAAGACAAATATGAGAACTCACGTGAAATTTTAAATTATTCATTGATGATTTCTATGATTTCCTTTTGTTTCATGATTTTAAAAAAAATCAAATTTTTGAAGAGCAATAAAATGAAATGCAGACCACAAAACACAATTCACAGAAAGAGAGAAGTAGTCCAGGAGCAACAGTATGGCCAATTGTTCTACCATGGTAGTTGGAAGTTGTCCAAATTAATATTCCCCCTTCAAAGAGCCCTGGTAGAACTGTGGTTAGAATGTAGTATTGCAAGTTGACTCTGCTCACTGCAAGCAGTTCGATCCTGACCAGCTCAAGGTTGACTCAACCTTCCATCCTTCCAAGGTCAGTAAAATGAAGACCTAGATTTTGGGGGGCAACATGATGATTCTGTGAAACCCTTTGAGAGGGTTGTAAAGCACTGGGAAGTGGTATATAAGTGCTAAGTCCCATTGCTATTGCAATGAAACACTGAAAGCTTCAGATTTCAATAAAATGTAACCGTTTGCATTAAAAGAGTTCCTAAGAGTACTTGCAGAAATCAGAGTACATTAGCTCAGATACAATGTGTACAGTATAATCTCAAAAAAAAAAAAAACCCAGAGCATAAATATACTAAACGGTAAACATCCTGCCATCGCTATGAATTGCTACTATGGAAACGCAATATGAGAATCCATGTCATAATTAGCAGTACTACCTGATATGACTCCTCTGAGGGAAAAAACCCAAATATTTTCAACAATTCTTAACATTTTTAGAGCATCCTGGGAGCATAAAGCATACTGGTAACTCAACCTATTTTAGAAAGTGTTTATTTTTTAAAAAACAGATTCTTACATACTATGACAACCTTTCAGAAACATACATTGTTCACAATTCTCCTGTTACTTTAACAGGAAAAATTCAGTATTCTTGAGAAAGTTCTTTTGAGGAAGTGGCTTCCCACTGATAATTGTTTGTGTGTAGATACAAAAAATAATAACAACATCAGACCAACAATCAAACAGTTAACGGTACCCCAATCAAGGAACTGTCAACAATCCAACAGTAAGCAGCCCAAGCAAAGAATGATCAAGACCACTCCCAACAACACGGCAAAATATAAGTAATAAAATATAAAATGAAAGCAAATCGCACACTCTACTTGCACTGATGGTTTTATCTAGTTTGGGTAATGAAACATCTGGGGAAAAACAACCAAGTTCAGAGAGTATCAAGGAACCCTCAAAAAAAAAAAAGATATAAAAGCCAATTCTAATTTTCTAGACCATTATAGGCTGCTCTCTTTATATCAGCATTAAAGAACAATGCCCAAACATAATTGCTTTGAATCACTATTATATTCTCAGCCCAGGAAAAGGCCACTTGAATGAAAGAAGCAGATGTCTTTCAATGTACACTTTTCTAGGAAAACAGATGAGAACATGTTATGTACAGGTAACAAGAATAGCACGAAACAAATACTAGCACTTATTCTTGTCATTACAGCAGTAGAGAACAGTACAGTATTTAATATAAGATGTACTAATATTCCACAGAAGAAAATGATATAGCAAAGATCTATAAATCCAATCTTTGTTCTGAAATCACTTTAGGATATAAATGGCTATATATAAGAAATGTGCACATGAAAAACCCTGAAATATAAAAATAATTTTATGAAATGTATAAAATACATTATGCATGCATGTATTAAGTTTAGAAACTTAATAAAGAATATCCTTTTTAAGAAACACTGAATTTAAATTAACCCGATAATTGTTCAATTCATAATTTTTGTTTAGAATTTTCAAATAAGTAGGTATACACAAAATAGAATATAGTAATTATTGCCTTAGTACCAATACTATTTCATATTCAGAACTATTTTTACATAGTTCTACACTTTTCCCAGAAAGCCTTTTTCAAACAACATGCAACTTTAATATTTTAGTTATAAAGAAGCTTACATCAAGAGTCTGGTCTTAAGAATGCAAGCTAAATATTTCTGCTTAGTCCAATTATCTTCAATGATAAGATTAAGGTCCTTCTACACAATGACTCTGTCTCAGTTGCGTGATCCTGAAAAGTCAATTACTTTTCTGTAGGATATGTTGACATGTTTCTCCAAACTTTTGGCTCGCCTGGGCCACATTGAGTAAAGAGGAATTGTCTTGGGCTCCATATAAAATATATAATATAGTTAATTTATGTAAATCACATAATAATGTTAAAAGTTTACGATCTTGTGCGGCTGTATTACTAGCTGTCCAGGGCTGATGTAGCTCATGGGCCACGGATTGGACACGTCTGGTCTAGGTCAGGGGTCTGCAACCTTAAACACTCAAAGAACCACTTGGACCCATTTCCCAGAGATAAGAAAACACTGGGAGCTGCAAAACATGTGCGCGCATGCGCGCGCGCGCATGCAAGGGATGGGGAGCTTGACTGAAGAGTTTAATTAAAAAGAAATAGAGTCTGCTGTGCATGAGTTCTCTGTCTCTCTCTCTTTCCTCTCCCTCTCTCTCTCTCTCTTTCCTCTCCCTCTCTTTCTCTCTTTCCTCTCCCTCTTTCCTCTCCCTCTTTCTCTCCTCTCCCTCTCTTTCTCTTTCCTCTTTCTCTCTCTTTCCTCTCTCTCCCTCTTTCTCTCTTCTTTCCTCTTTCCCCTCTCCCTCTTTCTCTCCCTCTCTTTCTCCCTCTCCTTCTCTCTCTCTCTCTCTCTTTCTCTTTCTCTCTCTCTCTCCCTCTCTCTCTTTCTCTCTCTCTTTCCCCCCTCTCTCTGATCTTCTGCTCACCTGGCAAGCTGGCTTCAGGCTGTTCTCCAACAAGCTAATACACATTCTTATTGGGATGGCTCTGTCCTGCCTTTTCTGCTTTCTGCTTCCTGCACAGATGCAGCAAAGGGAGGAGCCACGCCCAATAAACTTGTCAGCTTG